TGCAGTTCTGAGAAACAAAACTCAAATGTGATTGGAGAGATAGCTCTACTGCAAACGGGGGAAGGGACCAGAGGCAAAAGAAGGGGGTGAAAGTGAGATGGAGTGCACACTTAAAAGAAGTAAGCTGTGTCACATACATGCACTAAATGCCACAATGAAAGTAGTCCCATTATGTATCACAAATGTACTAATAAGTAAATTAAAATTTAAAAATTTTTAAAACTGGTCAAGGTGGTGATAAAGAAAATAAAGACAAATTATCACACAGAGTAAAGGCAGAGAATAGATATTTTTGATTATCTAAGTATTCCTTCCTTTGCTCAGGATCCTAGAACCTCCACTGCAGGCATCTATGCCATTCATTGGTAACTGCTATGGGGAAAAACATCAGAAGGCTTCTCCGTAGTACGTGTATTATAATTTTTTTAAATGAAATTTACTGTACCTAATGCTTATATTAAAAAAATTTCAAACCAAGAAAATGAAAATGTGATCAAAATTTTAATTGACAAAGAGAAGATACCAGCTGCTGTGGGAAAGAAAGTACTGGTTGACAGGGCCATGTGTGGGCCACCACCAGCCGGGGGACAGCCAGACCCAAGACTTTCCCTGTGAGTCAGCATCATTGGTGGACTGCGGGGAAGAGAACCAGGCCTCACCAAGAAGCAAGCCCTCTACTGTGTAAGGGTAAAAAAGTACTCAAAAGTACTCAAAGCAGAAAAGTAATTGGGATAGGGGAAAGGAGGAAAGAAGCAAGGGAAAAGAAAAAGACAAAAATTTGTGTGTGTGTGTGTGTGTGTATACATAAGATAGCTAAAATGCCTATACTACAAATTGTATTAGCTATTGAAAAAGAACAGTTAATATTCATATGATTAGATCAATTTTGCATGTCTATATCTGATAATCTAAGCATTTGAAGATAACAATATGCAATATTACAACCATTGTTAAATTCCTATCACCTTGTTTTTTAAACCTATACTGTTATGGTATTGGGTGTTTTGTTGTTGTTGTTTGTTTGTCTCTTTGTTTTTTATTTGTCTTTTTGTCTTTTTTCTGTTAGATAAAATTTAAAAAATAAAAAGAAGAAGTAAGCCCTCCCTGCGAACCACTGCCATGCATGGGCCACCTCCAGCAGGAGGGACAAGCAGATCCCAGTCCCTTCTGGCAAGCAGGCAGGCAAACAAGAAGAGCAGAGCCCCCCACCCCAACCCCTGCCCCCCATAAGTGACTGGCTGATCCAGAGAAACACAGGCAGTGATAGCTATTGGAGTAAATGCAATTTGATGCTTGTGGTGTTTTGGTGTTTCACTGACCTTGCATGTCTAGGGCTGATGTTCTGAGCATCTATTCAGAGGATAGCAGTACACAGTGTGACATCTGGGGGGATCTCCTTCTGAAGGTGGCAATGTTGTTAATTCTCTATTGTCTTGTTTTGAAGTCCTATATCATTTTCACTGTGGGTTTTTTTGGGGGGTGGGTTTTGTTCTATTTTGTTTGATTTTGTTATATTCAATGGCATGAGGAGCTGTTTCAAAGATAGCAAGATACATTGTGGTAACCATCTTGGATTTACTATTATCTTGTTTTGAAGTATTCATTGTTTATTGCATTCATTGTTTTGTTTTTATTGCTTCTGTTCTATTCTGTTTGATTTTTCACTATGTCTGAAGGTATCTGCAGCTATTTGGAAGACAAAAAGAGGCATTATGGTAACTATTGTTGACTTCATTTTTTTTTTTTTTTTGAAGTTCTGTATCACTTGCACTGATTTGTTTTGGTGTGTTTTATTCTGTTTTATTTTCCTTAATTTTATCCTCTTTAACATTAAAAAAAGAATGAAAGTGCTGGTTGATCAACCTGGACCAATAAGGGCAAAGTTCAGCATGGGACTAAAGACCGTGACATTTTAATCTTAATTTAATAGACGTAGAGAAGAAGTTAAAGATATTTGAACAAAGCGAGGCATGGTGGCACATGCCAACAGTTTTAGAACCTGAGAAGCTGAAACAGGAAGAGTAAGAGGTTTGAGTCCTCCTTGGGCAACATAGCAAAATCTTTTCTCAAAATTAAAAAGAAAAAATAGAACAGGAGGTATAGCTCACTGTGAAGGTGTTGGGTCCAGTCTCCAGCACTAACTTCACCCCCCACTACCAATTTTTTTTTAACCAGGTCAATAGCAAAATAAGACAGTGGATATTCATGTGGCAATTGAATAACATAATGTAACCTTCTCTTTAGTCAACAATCAATGGTAACATGGGTTCAGTGGTCACACACACACACACACACACACACACACACAATTAATCAGGGCAAGGACAGGAAAACCAAGAGCTACAGGAGATGATGTAAGTAAAGATGGTTTTCAAATAAGAGATTATGAAGCTTTTAACCAGAACACTGATGACTAGAATAAAAGGAAGAAAAGCCAAGATAAAAATTGAAGGCATGATGGCTTGGTTTGGAAGTTAGTTGGATGTAAGAAGCAGCCAAATGAAAGAAATCAACTATGGACAAAATTTTTTAACCTTAATCAAGAGGTAGTATTACTCTTTATAATAGTAAGCAAAAACATGCATAAGAAGCTCAGATACTTTGTGGTCTTGAAAATGATGGGTCGTTTCTGGATGAATTAGTGTGTATGTGTCTTTAGGATGTTTATATAAAAAGCTATAAATACGTGTGTTATATTAAGATGCAGTTATAGAAATAAATGAGGATTCCAAGGGAGAAAAAGTAATAAAAAGAAGAGGAAGATATTAAAAAGGACCATCCAAAGAAGTAGGAACACCACAGCAATCTAGGCAAAGAATTTCTAGTGGGTTGACGTTAGAAGCAATGAAGAAGGGAAAATGCATATGGAGTCTGTGAGTAAGGAGGAAAAAATGCTACAGACATTCTAAAAACAAAACAGCACACGAGAAAAGCAGATATGGCCCAAATAACCACATGGCTTCTAAAAGAAGCCAGAAGCTGGACTCTGACCTCTACTTTACATGGAGAGCTATTTGCTGGTGCTAGGAGAAAGAGAAGAAACAGAACACTGAGTGGGCTGCAAGGGGCAGTAGCACTCTTAGAGGAGGTGATCCTCAGGGCTGTGTTATGCCAGAAAACCCAAAGAACCCAAGATCTCATGATGTAGAGAAGTGCATGAGGCAAAAATATCGGGAGCACACGCTGGAGCTATCCATCTACCAGGGCTTGAGGTCACCTCAGTCATGAAGCTGTGGGGCCGTACAGACTAGCCGACAATGGAAGTGACTAAATATCAGAGGGCATGGTATTCTAGAGAGACTCCAAAATATAAACTCATGTACAGAAAAGAAAGTTGGGAGGCAGAAATAGGGCAAATAGTAGAAGCTAGAATGAACTAAAGGTTAAAAAAAGGCAACAAGAATGACTGACTGCTTAATTTGAGAGTATAGGACTAGAGTTCCAAAATATCTGTTGGGGGTCAGGATGAATACTGAAATTTGGGGCAAGGGTAAGCATTCAAGAGTTTCGAGTGGAAACTGTTATGAAGACGGTTCAGATGGAAGCAACTGAATTTGACAAGGGTAATGCATGGGGATGTGAAAAAAAGTAAACAGTGTGATGTTTATGTACCAACCCATAATTGATATGTGCTACAAGAATGTACTAATAAAAAAAGAGACAAAAAATGTTCGGGAGTGGTTTTAAGAAGAGCAGCTTCAACCAAGATGTGTGGGATCTGGTATAAGGGCAAAATAGTGTAAAAGAATGAATGAGTGAAAACAATGAAGTGATTGCAGATAACTAGCTCTGATAGATGCTTGCTGTGGGGATGAGGGTAAGGAAGTTGGAGGGGAAATAGTAACCAGGTCCAAAGTGTGTTTTCTGTGCAATTTTTAGTAATTGAGATAAAAACCTCTCTAAACAGAAAGATCTCATGGAAAGAGGAGTCATTCATGAAGCAACTGGATCTCAAGAGGAATGGAAGGGGTATGCAAAAGGTGCTTGGCCAGGAGCTAATTAAAGTCCTAATGTCTCTAAGAGGCTCAGGACAGTGAGAGTACTGGACAAAGGGTCTAAAGTCCTACATTTTAGTCCTTTTTACCTTTATGCAGTGAAAAGGATTCACAGTATGGGGAAGAAGAGGAAATTAAAATGTTCCTGATGGGCAGATAGGTACCTTGATGCAGGAGTGAACAGACAGAGAAAAGAATGGAAAGGCTACTTACAGAATCAGAGGAAGAGGACAGTTCAAAAGCCCAAGACTCGGTGAGTGTGAGTCTCTGTTCAAGGGACTTGGGAGATACAAGGGGTGTGGAAGGCCTATACACACATTTCAAACTGGAGGCAACTTGTCAGAAAACAGTTTAACTTTTTTCTTTTACTGTTTTATTCTGTGCAACAATACAATTCACGCTTCCTTGAATAACTTTCTATATTTTAAAACCCATTTTAATATCCTCTTTAGGAGAGTATATTCAGAGATCCAAGGTGGAAAAATTAAAATAAGATGGTCACTTCGAAGTATAAAACAAAAGTGGTACAAAATATCTGGTTTTTTTTAACAGAGTGAGTATGGAAAAACTTAGCATTAAAGTCTAAAAATGTAATTGTAGCTTGGTAGCATGGTTAAATATGTATACTCTGGTCTTTTTGACAATTGTATTCATCCCTTTACAAAGCCTTCAGAAGTTCCATCACAGAAGCATGGATGCTGTTTTGATCTATTTATTACTCTTAAGTGTTCAGAGAACTGTCCCTATTTTCTAATTAACACTTTTAAAGATAAAAAGCCATGTATTAAATCAATCTGAATGATGGTTGTTTGTGAATCCCACAAGATAAGGCAATTTGCATGTTCACTTTGTACTTACAAACTAAATCTGCACATCTCCAAAGCAGCCCCTTATGATGTAAACCTTTTGTGAGTATTTGTAACTTGAAAGAAAGTTTGGCCTACCACAGAAGCAGAGCCAATTATCTAAAGGGCTTCGTTACCAAATATGATTAAGATACAAAGATGTTGGGCTGTTATTTTATATGATTTGCTGTGGAATTTAGGGAAACAGCTCTTAAAACATTCAGTATTATAGATTATTACCTTTTATTAGGGCACTGATGCAACTCAATTCCCCCACCAGTTAACTGATTTCAAAAGTAGCCAGTTGCCACTCACATGGGGTAAAGTTCCTTTGATACAAATTAAATTGCTTGCTGATGAAATGCACCTTTCAGCGACCTGTTTGAGTTTCAGCTGATGCTGTAGCACACGCTGTGATGTGAATTCCAGTATTGGTGCTAAATCACAGTGGTGATTTATTATTGGATTTTCAGTCCTGATGAGTCAGCACTGTAAGATGTTTACCAAATTAGACTTTCAAGAACAATGGCATTTCTCTCATTCAATAGAAATCTTTGTTGCCAATTCAGGCTATTATTTCCACATGGTTATGGGGTGGTATGTTCACACTTAGGGCTCTCATCAGATAGTGTTTCTTTGCTTTTTCAGGATCTGTCTTCATTAGACTTCACGTGCTCAATCAGCTTTGAAAGCTTTGATTAAAAACCCTGGTCGCCATCACGTGACAACGGTTCCTTTATCACTTCTAAACAGTTCAAACTGTGCTTTCCTTTGCCAAATAAGTCAAGAAATAAGAAATACCATATTGACTAGTGAAAATCATATCCAATTTTTTTCTTTTATTTGAAATAAAGTAAAAAAGCAGTACTTAGTATCTACTAATCATTGTGAAGACCTCTTTAAAGGTAAGACCCAGAAAGCGTAGCTGGAACAGTGGGTGAGATGGTGAGAATGTGGCAGTGACTTTTGTTGGGGGAAAAGCTGAGGACTTTTTCCTCTATTCAGTAAGTGTTTATTGCCCTTCATTCCAAATAGGTGCTGTTACACTCTTATACTTGCTTCTGGTGCAAGGGTAAACGTGAAATCCTTGTCTTCATGAAGAATATGGCCATAAAAAAACAAACTCAATGAATATGTAAAGTCACGTCAAATTATAATTTCTGCAAGTGCTAGAGATCTCCACTAAAATTAAGGTTCTTTAAACTTCAGCAAAAGCAAGCAAAATAGGGCCTGCTTATTCCAAGCTCACTTCTGAGCGCATCTGAATACAAGCTTTTGTAACACATCTTGCAAGCAGCAACTTCTTGGAAGCCCATGAAGCGTTCTCAGTTATAAATTCAAGCTAATTGTCATAGAGCTTTATATTCTGAATCTAAATGGAAATAATCAGGATGTATCACGCTGACTATTCCAGGCATGTTTAGTGTGATCCAGTCCAGAGAAAGAGCAACTACGCAATCTTCAAGGACCTCATTGATCACTGATTTAGGTAATTAACAAAACCGTACTTTTTTCATTATTAGGCAATAGTTATAATGAGATCAAATGCAAACCAAAAAAACATTATTAGCAGCTCAAATCCTAGAGCAACGAATCTCAGCATTTGGCTTTTGTTTTTACTGCAAAACACATGGCAAATGAAGTTTACACGTGGCGCGAAGTTTCGTGGAGGTTTAAGGATTTGCACAATCCTGGGACACTGACTACAATCCTACTCCCCTCTCATTCACTCAGGAATGCTCATGGGAGTATCAGTAACTGGAAGTGGAATTAGGCTAGAAATAACCCTGATTCCTCTGATCTAGTTTATTTTTAAGTAAATCATTTGAACAATGATTATTATTCACAAATTACTTATGAACTGCGTCCCAAAGAATCACAACAAATGTGTGTACCAAAGCAAGACATTGAGAACCACTGACCCTACTGACTAACTTCTGCTAAGCTTAGCCATAGGTGCTCTGAATTTTTAGAAATTAGAAAGTAGAATTTTTAGAAATTCATTATGTAGTTAAATATCAACAACCAAATCCAAGTAGTGCCAAACACTTAATTTGCATTAGTGCTTTTCTCTTATATGGCTTCCATTTTCTCTTTCAGTTTAGTGGCAGGAAAGGGAGAGAGCTGGTTAGCTCTCTAGAAAGCAGGTAGTTCCTTTCCTCTGCAGCCTTGATGTCTTTCAGACCTCATTGACAAAGTGTTGATCTGCGGAAGTAGTTAGCTCAGGTCAAGTGTTCCTGCAGCCCAGCCTGTGAGCATTCACTTCAATCGAAATCCCTGTGGTCCCTGCCAGCAACTCTGGTCCACAGATGTCTCCGGATGCGGCCCCACCCTTGCTTGGTTGCTGCAGTGGGATTTGCAGATGATCTGCACACCAGAGTCATTACCAACCTTAAGGGGGACTTCAATGAAAGGTAGGAAATATGCTGGCTTCACAAAAGTACTTTTTAAATATTTGATATACTCAAAAACTTTTTGAGAAAAATTGCTTTATTTTTTATTCAGGTGGGACATTTTGTTCTTTGTGTGAATGAGTTCTTTGCTTATGGGGGTGGAGTAAATGTGGTTTTACATACCTTAAATTTAACTATAAATTCTTCTGAAAATGCAAACTGAAAGCACACTTTCCTTCTCATTAAATTCCATTAAACCAAAGGAAAGATCTAAGTAGAACTGTAACAGGATCTAAGCAGAGCAGTAAACCAAAAGTACAGGACTGCCTTGTAAACAGTACTACAGAAGAAGGGTCGGCAAGGTCTGCGTCTCTGTGCTGCCTCTACATGCAGTCCCTGTGGAAGGCAGCTGTACACATTAGCCTAGCTGCTTACACTAAAGAGCATTACTGTAGCACCTTGGAGATTTTACTATGTCATTATTATTCTCATTATTATTATTGTGAAACTGGAGACAAGTTCAACAGAAAATTAAACCATTAAATATCACATCTCTAAAATGATTGACAGACCACAGAGAATATGTGAAAACTTTGTTGAATTAGGATTAAGAAAAACTATATCTTACAGGCAATCTTTAAAACTTCAAGAAGAGGAAAGAAAATGTGAGAAAAAAAGAAAAATAAACAGAGTAAAGAACATGAAGATAGATTGGAAGAAGCAAGAGCTGAAAAAGGGAAGAAGGGAACGGGGGAGGAAGGGAAGACAGAAAGGAAAAGAAGACAGAATGGAAGGGAAAATGAGACAGTAATAGAGTCTACGGAAACTAAGAATACTAACATAGAGATTTAAACACCGCACTTTCAGAGTAGATCGGTGAAACATTAGAAAGCACAGGTGTCTCTGTAATTGTGATGCATTGGTAAAACTCACACTGTTAAATGAGCCTCAGATTCTCACTTGTACCTGCATGACATGGAAACACACTGTTAGTGCACTGGGCTCCACTCCAAAGACTGCCAATGTAAGTACATGACAGTGGAAACTTGGAAATCCTTCTGTCTCGTGCTCTTCTAGTTTTGAAGCATAGAACTTATAAATTTATATTTTATCAAAAAAGTTCATATTTTATGTCGTGTCTATACTGGGCTTTTATATGCATCAACTGAATAGTTTTAAGAACATGCCTCTGTTTTATAAGAAAAATATTCTTAAAGCATGACAAAGATTCTGTTATTTTTTTTCATGGAGAAATGGTTTGAAGGCCAAATGTTCACATTTAGTTTATGATCCTAAGAATTAGAAGAAAACAAAATGCTTTACAATGATACAGAATTAGAAATAAAGGAAATAATTTGCATAGTCTATTATCCACATCTTAAAACACCCGAGGACAATGAGCAAAATATCAATCTAAAGATATTTGATACTTGTTTTACAGTGTAGATATAAAACAAGAAACCCGACACCTATATTTTAAGTAGATATATTATAGGAGGATGTGCTTTATGAAATTACTATTTACAAAGAACACGCCATATCTGACTGTCTATGAGAACAAATGAAATTCTATTAATTATAAACTTATTTCATGCTGAAAATCTTTGTTTCCACTATAAATGTTCTTCTTAATGGAGAAAATATTGAAGAAAACTTTTCCATCCCCATCATATTACTTTATGCTGACCACATGGTTAGAAATTAAGATTTCTAAGATCTTAAACATCTAACACATATACAGATTTCTATTTCTATAAGTATAAATTATTTATTCTTTTGGTTCTCCATTCATCAATCTGTAAATGGAGAAAATATAGAAAATGCATGTATTATGGATTTGCTTGTCTGCACTCCATTATGGAGCAATCCTTGCCCACATTTAAAGATTTACTTAAAGAGAGTTTAAATATAAACAGATTCATATGCACGTTCATATATAATGGAAGAAGAAAATGCTATGGAATTTCCTCTCTAGTTTTTTATACAAAACACCACTTTTTACATGTATATTTTTGAAGTATCCTTTCCTAAACATTCTTTTTTTTTAACTCTTATCAGTATAAAACAAGAGAAACAGATAATTCTGTATTTATAATATTCTTAAAATTTTTTCTTGGTGTTTATTCTTGCTTAATCACAAGGTTACTAGTGTAGCAACATGTTAGCTGTTCACCCTGTCCAAAAGAGTAGTCTAAATTTACTAAGAAAATATGAATTTAAACAAAGGCAGTTGCTACTATATGTGGCTGCCCGGATCTGGGCTTTCAGGATGATAGAGAAAAAGAAGGAAATGATATTTTACCTCCTCTAACCAGGATTGTTAATGCATCTCTGTGAGATTTATTCATCTACAATATTTAAATGTATTTGTAAATCCTCTGCATTTTAACTAGCGTCATTACTCTTTTGTGGTATTTTTTGTTATGAATGTACACCAGTTTTGCCAAAAATTCCCTATTACTTCTCTTTATTAAATGACAACAATCTGTGAGAGTTAGTTCTGCATCAGCACTTCAATTTCCTTATGAAAAATTGTTCTTTCCTTTGGTTTGTGAGCACTTCCAGTACTATTGTTATAGAATAAAAGGAATGGCAGCAACTCACATGGTAATCTTGCTTCCCTTGCTTGTCTTGTGGACCATTTCATTCTGTCTTGCTCGGACTTTGGGCCCTGCTCCTTGTGTCCTGATAAATGGTGGACTAAGACAGCAGACTATGTGTCTCTTCCAGTTACACTTTGCCAAATATGCTCTGAGATTTAACCAAACATTCTCACCAGTGTATAGAATGACATACATCCTTGCTAAGAAAATTCTTTCTATCTCACTGAGATTTATTTTCTTTTAAACCTAAACACAAACTACCTCCAGTTAATGGATATAGTGTTTTCCTGTGTGTGTTGAAGATGCTGGCTCTTCGAAGGACGTCAGTGCAGGAGCAGCCCACCAACTTCCTCATGGAGAGTCACAAAAATCTGGCTACCATCAGCATCGTGGCCTATTCGTAAACGTGCTACCTTTCTTTTTTTTTTTTAACAGATACTGGAATCAAACACCAAAACCAGTTGCAATTCTCCCAACCTTTTCAGGTCATAATAGAATTTTGGACAGATTGGGCAAAAATTTCGAGATTATTGAATTGATAAATGTCACATAAATGAGAAAAGTAACTGAACACATTGATCTGTCATCAATAGAGTTGTAGATCAGATGGCAATGTCATCATTTATTGCGCAGCTCTTGTCTTCTTCTGCTCGAATGTACCAAATGAAGGACCCATTTGCTGACTTGAAATTCACAGTTGAGGTCCACTGATGATGCAGTGCAAAGAAGCCTGTTCTGTTCCTCTGCTCATGAATGAGCCATGCCAACCTTCACCTTTAAATAGCTACATATTTAATTATGCGATATTTAGAAATAAAGTTCAGTCACAGTTCACTAATAATATATGCCCGCCTAAGAGAGAGACAGGGATTTAGCAATTCAAAAAAAAAACGCAACTCCAGTGCCAGATTGCAATATATTAAAAAGCATTTACTTAAAGTCAAATTATAATAAATTAAGCTAGACTATAACAAAAATACAGTAAATTTTTAAAGGGTGATATTATTTTTCTATTTTACCATAAAACCTTCAGAAGTTATGGATTAACTTAAGGAAACAGAACAAAAACTGAACCCAAAGATGGTACAGTAGCTACTTTCTTGAAAACAAAACAATCTTTTTGTTCCTGCCATTTGTCTGAATTCTTCCTCCGGGTAAGCTGGACAGCTGCACTGGTAGGTTTTTTAGTCATGGGTTGTAAGCCCCACCTGGCTAGATTTGTTTAGCAGACAGCTGGCAGAATTAAATAAAAAGAATGAGCCACAAAATGCTTCCCCCGAAAAGCTGAGAAAATATTGTTTAGATGTTTTAGCCGTTTAGGGGTTTAGAATTTTCTTTCTAGTTTTTTTTTTTTTTTTTTTTTTTTTTTGTCTGTTTGTTTGTTTGCCTATATTCGTTACTATTTTATGTGACTAATTCTATGGATATTTTCACTCAATTATATTGCCATAACCAAGGTAAAAAATGCCCATAAATGTAAACATCAAATATGCATGTCTTGAACGGCTTTTCCTTTTTAGTTAGAAACACCAATTTGCAGTTTATAAGTCCCCAAGAATGACATAAGTTTTAAATTACCATTTTTTTATTTCTGCATTTTCTTTGCTATTTTTAAAGCCAATAAAATAGATTTTCTTCATCTGGAATGTTCTTTCTCACTTAAAGATAAGAAGGAGTCTAAATTGTGGGAATGGCATCCTTCTGCATCTGTTTCTCTCACAACCTATCAAATATCTAATTTTTGGCATGACTGCTGACTCCAACCGGGGGATGACATAAACCAGCTTTGTGGTTACATGTTTCACTTTTAATCTCATGGAAATAAAAATCAGCACTGTAATGTCCCTTTTCATGTGACAATTTGGGACTCTTTCAAAAGCCCAGGCAGAGGGGCATTAACCTGGTTAGGCTTAACACACAGCACACACAGGTGCATCGAGTGTTTTTAGATTGCAGGCATGAAGCAAAATTACTTTTAGTGGAGCTTTGTTTCCCTATGAAGCAGAAGCCACAAACAATGGGGACCACATAAATCAGGGATAGCAAGATACCAAAGCATGCCAGAAATACACCCAAGAATGAGGAGATGGAGTAATTCACTTAGTAACCAACCGTACAGCTGTATGTTTTGTCGCTTTTCATAAATGCAACAAGAGTATTTCAACCATCGCAAGTTCACTACTTAGTATGGGGAGAATCCAAGCTTTTCATTAAATAGTAAATATACTATGGAAGTGTCAAAAAAACCAAAATGGTTTGAATATAGTCCTGATTGGAGGAAGTCCATGAAAATAGATTCCAACTGCTTATAAATGAGCAAGGGGGAGGAGTCTACTCACGTTAGAGATAGCATGGCAGAGAAACATTAATGCCTGCGGCCCAGCTAACACCTATGAGATGACAATGAATGACCACTACAGCAGTTCTAAAAGCTACTCCAAGGTTCAAATCTATTTCTATAGTGCATGGAAATGTACTGATGTTAAGGACTAGGCCCGGAAAGCACTCTTTAATTCATTACCTAATACTTGCTTTCCAGAGCAAAAGCTTGACTTGGCCCCTCTCCACCCAGGCTATGCATTGCTCTGTGCAGTGTAGACTGTATGGAGCCAGGCGTGATCTGTTCAGTGCAGAGGCCCGATCTCTCTAAGCACTGATCTCAGTATCATGCATTTCAAATACAAGGGAGGCCTGGGAAGGCTTAATCCCCTGAGCCCAAGTAAACTGAGCATGATCTCTAGGGAGGCTGCTGGCATAGAGCAAAAAGACAGTGTTACTGTATATGCTTTCACATGGTTAGCAAAATGGGTCCCCATCAAAGACTAGGAAAACAGGCATGAGATGGAAGAAGTGAGATCACTCTAGGTTTCTGTCTGACCCTTAAAGACAATTCAATCTTGGCTGTCATCTGACAGTGTTGTATTTAGTTTGATAGACATGATTATAACTCTCTAGCCAGATAATCACAGTACAGTGCATCTTCTATATATTGGTGACTTAGCGGAATCAAAAGCTGTAAAATCCTTCTCTGTGTGTGTTACACGACTTGCTTTTTCTTCCTTAATACAAATTTCCTCTTGCCCTCTCCTCCTATCCAAGGAAAAGGGGAGGAAAAGAATTCCATGCACATTGTACATTTTGATTGTAAATTATTTTGTAAATATTTCATACAAATCCATCAAGTCTGTCCTAGGATGAATTGCATCGTAGCCAACTTCTTCACTAAAGAAAACTTGGTTCTTGTTTACTTCTTTCTGTAAGGAGAATCATGATGAATTTTAATAGGATAACCCCCTACTGTTATGAAATCCCCTCTTTTGGCCAGAGGAGCTTTGAAATTCATAAATAAGAAGTAAGCATATATTTTTTTAAGTTTTTAGACAAAAAAAAAAAGATATCTGCAAGTTTCAAACCCAACCTTGATAAAAACTCAACAGCCATACTTTTTCTGTTTCATCACCTCAATGAGCAGTATTATTCTGATACTTTGTTAAAAGACCCTTTAATTGCAAATTGACCTTCAATTTTTAACAGACTCTGCCACCACCAAGCAGTATTTTATTTGTGTATGAAAATTAATATATCCCTATTTTAGCACACACTTTTAATTGGGAATAGTGTGGACTACTTAGCAAAACAAATATTACTGGGAGATAAAGAATTTTTTTCTAAATGTTAATTCTATTCATTGAAATCTGTGAGAGAAAGAGCTTATTATTTTGGATAGAGGTAAACGTATGAGTATGGGATTGCTGTAGAAGACAGATCCCATCAATGTCATTCAAGTGACATCATAGTATTTCCTATCCTCCACCATAAAATGTACTGTATTATTTGTTGGATGAAAAGATACTACACCTTCTTGGCAAGATTCTTTATTTTTTTAATTTCTAGATTTAAATGTATAGCATAGCAGAAAATTAATAACTTCTTCCACTACCAACTCACTAATTTTAATGAACTATTAAATATATCTTTTCTGCACTTAAGGAACCAAAGAAACCAGCAGACTATATTTACGCAGAGATCATTTTCATGGTGAAGAAATAAAACCAGCTCTTCTGTAGAACAGAGCTATCACTGGGTGCAGTCACAGTACACTGCGATTTGCAAACAGGGAAATGAAGGCAAGCTCATTTGAAGGAAACTATGTGAGAATTTTAGATCAAGCCAATGCAATTACCCAAGTTGGAATTACTCCAGGACACCGAAACACACACCTAAGGTAGGTAAATTGAATAGAACTTCTCCTCAATTGCAGGACAAGCCACCATGTGTCTGACAAGTCTGGTATTTGTTCTATTTATTTGTAATTATTTTATAAATACAACTGGCCAAGTACCAGCCACTGTCACAGGAAATGAGGGATATAGTACATTCAACTAAGGGCCACCTGCATTCTTCAGGTATCCACAAAGTGAAAAGAAAATATTTTTAGAATTTGTTTTAAGATCTGATGCATCTGTTACTGGGTACTAAGGGGAGATTCTATTTTCCAGCTCATCTTACGTCTGTCTGTGACCACATGACTGAGTTCTGGCCAATAGAATGTGGGTGGAAATAAATATTTGAATTCTAGCTTGGACATGAAGTATCCAGCTTGACCCCACACTCTAACACACTCACATAAGTATGCACACACATGTACATGCACATCTTGAGGTAAGATTCTGGAAAATAATAGACTAAAAGAGTTAAAAATCCCCAAGTAACTGCTTAGAAGTTGGCTATCCAGAAGATGAACTCAAATATCAGACTATATGAACAAAAAATTTTTTTATTTTGTTAAAATTTGGAAGCTTTGGGGCTGGAGATTTAGCTCAGTGGCATAAGCACCTGCCTTGCAAGCAGGCAGTTGTGAGTTCGATCCCCATTACCGATAAAAAGGAAAAACACCAAATAAATAAATAAATAAATAAAATAAAATTTGGAAGCTTTTGCCAGAGGTGTTTGACTAGAATGTCCCTGATAAAAATGGAATTCCTTTGAATTGCAAAATTGAGAAAGTTGAAAAGACATTCCACAAAGCAAGGATGTTTTAAGATGCACTTTCATTCATTGCTTATGGGAGTATAAAACTTTTATTGGTGTTCTGAGGGTGAAAAATAGTCAAAATATATTAAACTGTAAGGACTTTACCTAATTCATATGCTTTGATGTAGTATACTTTACAACTAGAAATTGTCCTTGAGGAAAAATCAAAACTAGTGTCCAAGATTTTTCCTCAGAACATTGATCATATAAATGTCAACAACAGAGAAACAGTTAACTTAGCTTTGGTACATCTACATTAGAAAACACTATACAATTATTAAAAATTATGTATCAATTGAATATTTTAGTCATTTGCTTAATAAACTAATGTTTATCGAGTACCTCGTATATGGCAGGACTTATCCTAGATGCTAAGGATATACCAATGAACAGCAACAAAAAAGTTCCTGTTCTTTCGATGTCTATATGTTTAATGGTGAGACAAGGTACAACAAACAAATGAATAAATAAATAAAATAATTAACACTATCACAAATTGGAAAATTCTCCTCTGAAAATTGTTAATATATGTTATCCCACATATAGGCCCACAAATGTACACATACAGCACCCTATACCCAGAATTAGAAAGAAAAAGTAATGAAATTTTGCATATGCACATGCAACTTTACAATCACAAGCAGCTCAAAGTCCAAGAAGCATATAAAGTACTGAAGTTTTAGGAGTATAGCACCAGGATGTACATAGAGAACACCTGTAATTGGGCAGGTACTTCTCAAAATATTATTGTGCAAAGTAGTACTCTGTAAAGTGATTTAAATTACTCAAAAGATATTATTTCTTTTGCCAAAATTCTGAAAAATACCAAAACATGAATTGGTCTGAATTAATCGGTAGAGCTAAGGATGGAGGTGAGGGAATGTGACAGGCCAGGGCAGGGAGGAAGGGAAGGTTTCTGTGGAAGATGGGGCTTAACAAATGGCTTCGTCACTTCCCTACCTGGAAGTAGCAAAAACTTTTAAGGCAAACCAAAAATCACTCAGTTAGTGAAAAATTATCAATCACGAATGCTCATTTTCTATTAAAACGTACTGCTTTTCAGGGGATGCTTGTATGCCATACAGGGAATGAGTGATTATGCTGATTTTCATGTGCTGGATATTCTACTTGGAGTTATCAAGTTCTGAAACATGTCACGGTGACCATAATGATTATTTTTGTGCTGAGGAATCGGGAGTTATTTTTGTTTTGTCTTCATACTTTTCAGTTTTCTTACAAATTTTAAGAGACTACGGCTTGCTTTAAAAATTAAATTAAAAAATACACATGCACCACATTCATGTATACAAACAAAAGTAAAAAGTCGGCTCTTTGCTCACAAGAGTTATAAATGAAGGGTTTTTTTGTTTTGTTTTGTTTTGTTTTGTTTTGTTTTTTACCATAATGGGAACATCCACTTCATTGTAACCTCACATTCCTCAGCACGAGTAGAAATGTCATCTCGGTGTCACGGCATTGGCTCAGCCCACATTGATCCTCCCAGGACATCACTGGGCAGGAGAGCTTAAGTAAAGCCTTTGGGCTCATACCATCCCCCTTAAAGACACACAAATCATCAAGATGGTTGGTCCCCTGAAAGAGTGACCCCTTCCACACAAGCCATTCTCTTTACTAATCAGATCCCTCGAAGTCAAGGCAAGTCTGCAGATAGCATTTCAGAAGCAGACTATCTTCACAGAGATGGATACGAGAGATTGTTCTTAACTAAACTCATTAACAGCAGCAAAAAAATCATTGGGCTATGTACACATACCAAAGAGACTGCTGTTCTGGACGTATCCCACCAGCACTAACTCTGTTTGTTGGCGACAGTGGATAGCACTAAATCAGAAGGTTGAAAGAAACCTAAGTAGGACATCTAATCCATCGCCCTGCTGGCAGTTGTTCTGGCAGATTGGTATTTAGCCCTTTCTTAAAGTTTCACTGAAAGCTCTCCACTGATCTGAGGAAAGAAAGGCAAAGATATTTATATCCATGAGGTTTTCTAACTAAATGTGTAATATTTGCCACCTTCACAATCTGCATTAGTTCAAAATTTCATAAGATTAAAAGTTAGACTTGTTGATTTCAGGAAACATAATGAAATAAAAATATTTTACATTATACTCTACATTTTTTCCTCAAAGATTTTGACGAAGAGCTCATGCTGCATCTGTAGTTTAGGGCAAAGAATAAAACATTTGGCAGTTGACAGAGCAATTTTCAGAATTCAGATAGGAAGTACTCAGATTTTAGTCATTGATTTCTGACATTGATTCTATGCAAGTTAAAAGCAAAATTTTAACTTATTCTCTGGGCAGGTCATTACCTGTTCTTAGTATGATGGCTCTTAAGCACATCTCACCTATCTCTCAAAGTTATTAACCTTGCTCACAAAATAGTTTAAGAAAATATATAGATAAACTATTAAATATATTTGAGAGAACATTTTCTTCTCCTCTAGAGAATTATTATTTTTCTACATAAAATAAATACTTGCTGTATTTAGATTTTAGACAGAGAAGTGAAATTTAACAATCTCCTGACCAGATTTTGTAAAGAATTTCCCCAATCCAAATCCCTTAATTCTTTTCTTCATGGACCCTGTTTCTTCAGATTTGGGAATCTGAACTGTTTAAGATGAAGCAGGTAATATTTTCTGATGCTAATGCCCAATGTACATTGGCAGTGCTTAGTAACCTTTAGTGATTCTATTGTTGCTTGTTCAACCCCAGTTTTGTTCCTCTGGTGCCCTTCATCCTGAACTGATGTGAGCATATCAAACCAATATTCCAGTACTTATCTTTGACATTTACTGCGGAGAATGATGCTACCTCGACACAGACAAAGTTCAGAGCTCTAGGAAAACATGGTTGGCCTCAGTGTCTGAGCAGAAGAATGATCAGGCCAATAAATGTGAGACAGAAGAGTAAGAAACTCCAGTATGTGGACAGGCCTTTGGGAAAACCAGAGAAAATCCTGCCTCCAGCGTTGAATGTTAGTTTCAAGGCTTGTGACATGTCCTCATCCTTAAACTTTCTCTGGGATCATTGCTAGAGGCATGAAAGACAGCCAAGTCTATACTTTTTTTTTTTTTTTTTTTTTCTCAAACATGAAACCTGTCTCAAACACTAATATTACTGAGAGACGTTTGGCATTCGGTGTTTACTCTTGAATACTTCAGCCCATGTCTCATGGAAGGAATTTTGATTTCAGACACGGGTCGCTACAAAGACATTTTTAGGGTTTATTCTGCCCAGTACAGAAGGTTTATAAAAATGACCAAACTTCATTGTATACTTAATATGCATAAAATAGCCAAATATGTTATGGAGAAAAGTTTCCCAGGTGTTATCTTCCTTTCCCAGTAAGCAGAAGGAAAATTAAATAATTGTGAAACAACTAGCATAGTTGTAGAAAGAGCATTACACTGGCAGATAGAGTCAGAGTTCCAGCCACATGCTGTCACTTGATATAAAGAAGGTATATGTATTCTCATATACAATGCGAGATGTTGTTCTAAATAATCTCTGAGACAATCAAATTCCAGGAAGCCCTAGCCATGCAGAAGAGTGGGAATTCCCCATGGAGAGGGTATGAGATAGATGGGGTTGGGGAAAGGAATTCCGTATCAGTCTCCTGAAGCAGTAAGCCCAAGGGCAGACCGAGTCAGCATGCACATTTCAGTTATGATCTAATAGAGAGACATGGCAACATTATTGAGGGCAGTGGTGGCAAACCTATGCTGTGGGTGCCACCGCGGGCTTGCAGAAATGTCTCTCTTGGTATGCAAGCCAAGTCACTCCAGTGTTTCCCTAGCAGCCAAGCATGGGATAACAGCACACACAGGAGCAGTGTTTGACACCTCAGAGTAAGTAAGTGGGTTTCAGGTTGCAGTTTGGTCACTCAATCTAAATTTTCACTATCACTGATCTAGGGGAAAGTAGTTGTCATCATGTAGCAGCGCCTGTGTCATCACTGAGAGAGGCTGACCGATGAGACGGAAGTAGATCCAGCCCTCGTCCACTCTCTGGTAGGACCTACAAAAAGAGAAAAAAACACATGGCCCATTGGTAAGGATAAACTAGCCTCTAGAACCAGAGAAGAAACACAAAGGGGACAGCACAAGGTACAGATTGAAAACCAGCCACAAGTGGAGGCCAAAGGGAGAAAGGCCTAGGGCTGCCTGATTCAGAGGACTGTGTTTTTGGAGGAGAGCACATGCTGAGTCCCCACTGTGCATGCACTTTGCTACCAGCATCACCGACATCCCTTGTAATAACTCTCAGAAGTAGTCACTGTAGCACCCGCCAGCAGAAAAATAGTCATCATAGAATTTCTCCCAAAATGTGCGCTAGACAATGAGCTCGGTATCTAACTATATAGATTGGAAATGCAATTTACTATAGCCCTTCCCTATTCTTTTAACTATTCTCTTAGAGAATTATAATGTATATTAAATGCTTTGAGGTATCCTGTGTTAAAAAACAATTTTCCGGGAGCTGGGGATTTAGCTCAGCTGCATAAGCGCCTGCCTTGCAAGCAGGCAGTCGTGAGTTCAATCCCTGGTACCGATAAAAATGAAAAAGACAGAAAAAAAAAACAATTTTCCTTTATTAACCCAGAATTTCTAATGCAACTACTTCCCCAATATCCCCCAAAATATGTGTATGTTTGTACTTGTTCTCTCAGAAACATTTATATCTTTCTGATTTCATGTCCTTAGAAAATCACTCTGAAAATCTATGAGAGATGTATGCACTTTACAACACAAAGTGTGAAAGAAGTGTAAAATAATACTTATCGTGGTCAGTTTATGCTGGTGGAAATAAGTAAAGTGGTCGTATTAGAAGCTATTGTTCAAAGATTGGCTCTTGAAAATTGAGAGGCTATTGGTATCAACCTACAATGACAATTGCCCTGTGTGGCTGAAGGTCTAAATTTCTAGCATGATATAGACCACAGATGGGGGATATTTTTCAGCTTACAAAAATATACAAAATGAATGAAGAAAAAGTATAAATAGTATCATGTTCCATCACTGTAGAATAAATTTTCTTTGCAGGGTTGGGGGAGGACAATAAATTCCTCCCACAGTATGCTCAAATGGTGGCACAATTCTGCCAGAATGGGCCTCCTATTGTAACTTTGTATTCACAGAATGTTTTCACTAGAAAGTGTCTTTCCTGATGGTCTCTGCCATGCAGACAATGTCACTTTACAGAGAATTGTGAATTTTCTACTGTCTCCATCTCCTGAACAGCAACTGGTGCTGGAGCCATTGCCCCTGTGGGATATTCAGCTCTTGGGAAGCTCTTGGGAATATTTGTTGGAGTGGAGAGAGCAGAAAAGTGATCTCAGAAGATGTTCTGGAAATAAATAAATATAAATGTGTTTAGTGGAGCTTCTCGGAGCTTTTAATGTGCTAATGACGTGTGTAGAAGTCTCCTAAGAGTGGGTCAGCAAGACTAATTAGACTACATAGAAATTTCTAAGCTACAAATTTGTCTACATAACTGTGACATCTGGGGATCTGGGGATCAGTAGTGGCTCCTGTACTGGACTTTTCCACTTTCCTTCCTATCCTCAGCCATAGCTGCTGCTTAAGTTTACTATAAAGACTAAATGCAATAACATGAATGCTATTGCCTCACCTTGCACAGTTATATGTAGCAGAATTTCCACAAATAATGTTTCCTAGTAACCTGCAGGTAATAGAGAAGCCTTAGTTATTTGCACTTTGTACCTGGGAAAACTGAATGTTCTCAAGAATTGGGTCATTTATCTTCCTGGGAAGAGCCTAGTCTATAGCTCCTGTCTAAATCTGAAAAGCTTTCCAGGTGGCATTCCCTCTGGCCTTCGGGTGGCTCTTAGTCCTTAAGCACGGTATCACCTGTCACGATGTCATGTCTGCACAGAAATTGACTTTGCATTGAGTACTCTCAGTAAACCTAGTGGTAGCCTAACATTTGCGAATTCAATTCTTTTGAAGGGTTGTGATCAGAAAACACGCACTATCCAATTTTTCCCACACATGCCACTTCTTAGCCAGTCTATCACTGAAGGTCTGTGCAGTGTGGTCTGTTTCAGGCCCGTAATCATATCACCATTGTAATGAGTGGCAAATCCTATGTAATTTACACATTAAAAGGAGGCTGAGATGCATGGAAAAACCCAGCCCCCATTTGTCTAATGAAATTAAAGCTCTTAGCCAAATACTGGTGCTGAAAAGAGATGTTTGGGAAGGCTCCCTCCCCTGCCTCTGAAGAAGAGGGTGAGTATTCTTTATTCATGATCCTGCCTCTACCTAAATCACTCCCACAATAGGACCTCTAAACCAAGGGGCCCTGACTGGGAGCGTGATTTACGCACAGCAGAGGCCAAGCAGGGTTTACAAAGGCATTATGACTAGTTATTTTCAATGACAATTGAAGGGAAAAATAAAGCAGCAGAGATGTTCTGTGGCTTGGCAGGCAAAGCACTAAACTGCCTGCCTCCTACCTCCTCCACCAAATGGCATAAAAGAAGCTTCTGGCCACACCTGATACAGTAATTATTTTGAGATATTTTTCACATTCCCTGGTAACTGAGCATAATCCTGAAACAAGTGTGAATGATTCAGCCGTTGGGGCAACCCCACCCTTGGGTGAGCATAACTCTGGGAGGGCCCCTTGGTCCTAGGCTAAGGCAAGGCGTGTCCAGTTCATGTCATCAAGTCCTGAGCAGGTTCCTCACAGTTTCCCTTGGCTTTGAAACTACCTGACATCATCTTGAAGTGAGGTGAAACAAAACAAGACAAACATATCTGGGTACAAGTGTCAAAGTCAAGAATTTATTTCGATCATGAAGTTAGTTACTGCTCTGTAGAATGGTCTCATCTGTTCCATGAATGATAAATCCATAGAAATATGTAGGGTATTTGGTTCTGAGCACATTAAGTGGAGGCATCAAGGCAAGACTCTGGATAGAGGAGAGCCAGAATATGTAGAAAAAGAACTAATAGTCTTTATCCCTGGTTTAAACAAATACTCAAAGACAAACGCTAGAAAGAGAATGCAGTGTGTTCATGCGCTGCTCACACCCACACCTCTGCATGAGACCTGATGGATATGTTGAGAAGCTTCTTTCTTTATTTTTCTTATGTGAAGCTACGTAAGTCCAAGCTTGTTTTCCATTCCTCTTCTTTACTCTTTATTCTCTCTGTACATCTTTCTTTCTCTTCCTCAGTCATATCAAACTCTTTTCCTTTTTGAAGCATCCTCTGCCTGTAATATCTTCCCCAAGATCTGCATTCACCTTACTTTTTCTCATCCAAGAAGATTCTTGTGAGTTCTCAGTATAGACCAAATATATTCAAATATACACGTACTGCACTCTAATAATTTATACAAAATTGCAACGGTCATGTTGTAGTTGATTAGTTACAATTGGCATTGTAAATAAGTGTTAGTTATTTCAATTTTGCAGTATTCTCTCCATGTGGTAATTCCAATAACATTTTTCCTGGCCTGAAACACTTTATGGGCCCTTAAAAATAGCCATAGACCTCATGCCCTAATCTCTAACAGACAAAATACTCCTGCTGGTGTCATTCCAGATCATGTCAAGTGACATCAGTTTTCGGAAGAGGTCTTTCCTAATCTCCCACTCCATAATAACCTCTCATTTTGTGCTGTCTCTCTTTACCATTCCTTTTTGTACCTGTCTCATAATTTGAACTTATCTTGGGTTTAGTGTTTACAGTGTGTTTCCTGCAGTTAGAACATAAACTTCATGAAATCAGAAACACAAATGACTATCTTCTTCAGCACTGCTCCCGCCAACAGTGCCTAGAACACTGCCTGGTATATAGTAGTCATTCCATAAATATCAACTGAATGAATGAGAGAATGAGCTCACACAATCCGGGTTAACTTTGTAACAGTACTGGTTTAATACAATAATATTATGTAATAGTACTGATTTACATGTGTAATAACTGAACTTGGTTGGTTTCAACAATAACAATCCAAGGCATCAATATCAATGGGACCTGCTATTGCAGGATGGGAGCTGGGACAGTGCCTCAGTTTTAAATGCCAACTAAGGAAACTATCAACTCTCATCTTCACAAGGTACTTCCAAATGCCATCTTCCACCTGAGTGGAATTTTTCTTCATGGAAGCAGAAGGCAAACAGAGTGAACACTGACCCAGCTTTCAGAGTAGGTGGGGAGGAAGCACAGCCCGACTCCTGGAAGGAAGCACGCCTTCTAATAAAACCTGGGTCGTAGAGTCTTACAGACTAATGCTAACGCAGCACAAGGTTGACAAAGAATCTTTTAAGTATACACTGGAAACCCTGTTGCAGACCATGGAATAGAATGACGCCAGCCTCACCCGGGAAGCTTCAGATAAGAGGAGTGTGTGACCTCAGTACCGGAGTACCAGTGCCTTGGGCCAGAAAATGAAACCACCAATACCCATCGCTGTGACTCTTTAAAGGCAACTCTCACCATTTCTAAGAGTGAGTAGTCTTCCACAAAGAAAATCATTTTTGTTTTTATAAAATCTCCAGCCAAATGTCATTGCCTGCTTTGTGATAGGCAGACAAATACTTGGGCCAAATGAATTTATAAAATTGTGTTTTGTAATTCTATGATGCAAAGTGTTTCAACTCCACCATCATATGTGTATGATATTATCTATCAATCACTTCATTATATAGAAATATGTCATCCTTGTTTCTAAATATATATTTTATATATATTATACATATATTTATATTTTATATTATCCTTTTTTCAAAATACTAGGAAAGATTTTTGCCTGTTTTAGAATTAGTTATATTCTTGTTAGAATAACAAACAATTTCAAAAAATGTAATCACAATGTTTGTTTTGTATCACACAAACGTACTCCAAGGGTTGAGGCCTTTCTATGGCTGTTATTTTCTTGGTACTGTATGATAGTTAATTTTATACACTGAGTGGACAGAGTTAAAGGATTCTTGGATATCTGGTAAACACTCTTTCTAGGGAGACTGTGACAATGTTTTTGTAAGAATGTTTGAATCAGAAGATTGCAAAAAGAAAATCTGCCCTCATCAATGTAGACAGACATTATAATTTCTGTTGGGGGTGACCCAAATGGAACAAAATGGCAGAGGAAAGGCAGAGTTTGGTGGAGTCTCTCTCTCTCACTGTCTCTGTCTCTGTCTCTGTCTCAGTCTCTCTCCTAGGACATCCATCTTAACCTACCCTCAGAAGTCAATCCTCCTACTTTTCTCAGTCCTTCAATTTCCAAACCTTATACCAACAACTCCAGACAGTGTCTCAAGCCTTTGAACTGAATTATACCCCTGGCTTTCCCAGTTCTCTTGCTTAGAGCCAGCATATGATGGGATTTATTGGCTTCATAGCTGAGTGAGCCAAATGTGACACATACAATTTCTACTCATGTAACTTATTATCTAGAACTAGTCACAAAGCCTATTTAAATGCAAGGATGCTGGGAAGTATCGCTTTCCATGCTCCTAAGAAAGAGGAATTCGAAATGAAATTTGCCTCCAACACAGTGCCCAAAATCAAATAGCAAACAAAATGAAAGAGCTGTGATTTGATCCAAATCTGATACAGAACCCAGTACTTGCTCCATGACTGCAGTTTGAAGGCTTGGAGTACATCTAACATAGAGCAATATGCTTGAACAGTGCTCATGATAGAAAAAAAAGAAAGGGAGAAGAAACAAAAGAAAAAGAAGAAAAATAAAGTATAAAAAATGAAGGAAAAGGGAGTGAAGAAGGGAGGAAAAACAGAGGATCTTTACTACTTCTTATCTTCATGACTGATCAGTCATTTGAGCACAATAAGGCACAGGCATGATACGGTAATTAACTTGCATTCTTACAGTGTCAGCATTAAAATGGAAGGGCAAAAGATAGAGGCCAGCGTTGCCATTTTCTAGGTTTTTTGCCTCATGAACATTGCATGGATCTTCATCTATTAAGAAGGGGGAAAAAGAAGAAAAGAAAGGGAGGAAAGAAGAAAGCTAAGGAGGACAGGAGGGGCAAGACAGAGGAAGAGAGAGAGAGAAGAGCCAAAAAGGAGCCCACTGGAAAGTAAATTGGTATGTATACTTTGCCTTGCATTCATTGGCAGAGATGAGATATATAAATGTTACAACAAAAATTATTTAATAATAAGGCTACTGTATTTCTTCCTTTCAAAACAATTTATAACAGAATCAAAGAACCATGCTTTTTAATAGCCCTTACAGGAAAAGCAAGACATGGACAAGTTGAAATAAATTAAGTATCTGCCATTGATTGTCATAGATAGCACCAGCTTATTGAGTTAATACTTTATTAGAGTGCAATAGCTTAGATGATGATGGTCTTTTTATTGTTTATGTGGTAACTCTCTATTTTAAGTATCTTATCATTATGAATTCATTTAGTATTGATTGCAATAGCACTGATCATAAAGAATTAATTTGGCATTACCATGGATGTCGTATGCACTTATGTAAGGGTTCGGCTATAATTCAAAATTAATTAATATGGCAAAGTGTTATCGCTTTTGCAATTTTACATTTTTAATGTATCAAAGGTATTTTTTCAGCAGGTGGCCCCTAGGAGAAAATGCGCCCAAGGCATTCTTTTTTGGAGGACAATTTCGCTAAGTGATAAGTGGGAAATTTGCCCTTGTTTCATTTTTCAAACCTTAAAACATTTCGTATCTTAAAACATTTGAGATTTCAGTCCCAGAATTCAAGGTTATAGGGAACAAAAGCCTTAACTCCTACAAAAATGACCATGTGTGCCAAGCAGTACTACTTATCCAATGAGCAGTGTGAACGAGGATTTACTCTCCTCACAACGTTCCGTCCTTGGTGAGCCAAGGATGATGTGTCCCTGTCAGAGTAAAAGGCACTCAGCAAAGGAATTCTATTTACTTAGAACAATGTGAAATTACCCAAAGGTGCAGCTCAGGACACACAGAGAATTCCAGCGTGTTGGAATTGTTGAACATAGGTATAAGGGAAGCCAGCAAAGGTCAGGGTCTCAATCAAATGTTCTGAGTCGGGAATGGACATCGGTGACCTTCAGTTAAGAATTCACCTTGCCACTTTCCATTGCTGCTGCCATGTTTGCCTCTACACAGCACGGTGGCATGTGACACTTCTTAGGGTATCATGCTGTAGGTGTTTGACCTTGTACATATCCGGGTTACGGTAGGTATCATCCTGTGACTGTTATGGGAAACACTGATGTCTAAAAATAATCTCTACCATCAACCACTAATGTTGAGAAAAAAAATTTAAGGTTTCTTGTTATTCCTATTATAATGTTTAGGTCCAGGAGAATATCTTTCTATCCACCGAAGTTTAATCATCAGCTAATTCAACACAAAGGAGGGCTCCAACTGAATAAAACTTCAGAATTTTAATGGGATGGTGGGTTTTGAGAGACAATCTGGAGAAGTGGTTGGCAAACCTATGGGACACATTCCTCTGCAGGCTGCATGCCATCACTGAAAGCTCTAACAGGTTTGCTGCCGCTGATGTAGGGGATGGGATTGCTCCACAGGCAGACTCACGGGAAATGCCATCATAGGTCCTAGAACTCAGAGCCCATTGCAGTTACTAACAATGGGCAAAGGATTGCATATAGCTGACATGGAATCCAAAAGAAACTTTGGGAAGAGGACAGTCTAAGATCAGCCAAAGTAGCCAGCCAGGGAGCAGCCAGATGGGTCAGACCAGGTAGAAAGAGTGGAGAGTAGCTGCATGATAAGAAGCACAGGATGTTGGCAACAGTGACAGCTTCCAGTTTCAGTGGTGATTTCTACCAAAACTTAAATTAGCATGTGAAGTAAGAAATTGGCAGCAAAAATTAATAAATCTTTGCCTTCTGATGACTTAGCACGTGTCTCAGCAAAAGGAAGGCTCTGGTCAGAGACCAGATCCAGAGCAGCAACTATCAGAAGCCCAGGGTTGAGCTGCTGTGCTGCCTCCAGAAGAACTGAATCTGTTATCAAAGGAGCTGTGGATATGAGCCTTAAGAAGGGCATGGCCAGAGTGGTCAAAGATTTCTTAGGCCAAAGCCACAGAATTTTTCTTAAGATTCCTAAATTAAAATATTTTTTTCTTTTACTTAAAATATTTTTAGAAATACTGAAAATTGATATTCTCTTGCCAAAGGTACCTAAATTGTAGCTTTTAAAGGAACCTTTCAGGGAAATGCCAGCTTAGAGTCAAAGCTAGTTCAGAGAGCTCTTCCACACTGCCATCCATCACTGTAGCCATCCGCTTTCTGCTGATCATCTCTGATCTGTTTTATTTGATTTTATTATGTCTGATGGTATGAGCAGCTATGTTGAAGATAACATGAGGCATCATAGCATTGCTGATTTCCTATTATCTTGTTTTGAAGTCCTGTATCACTTTCAGCATTTTGCTTTGATTGGCTTTATTCTATTTATTGTTTGGTTTTATTCTCTTTAAAATAACAATAAACAAACAGAAATAAGCCACACTTTCACAGGCCAGCCACTGGTGTAGAAGTGCTATTGCAAAAAAAAAAAAAAAAGTGCTATTGCTACTCTTGTCTTATATACTAAATACTAGGAGGTTTTTAGTTGGTGCAAACAACAAAGAATGTTCTGCTCTTTCTGTTTCCAAAGAGGTATGTAAAAGTCTATTATTGTTTTTCTAATTACTGAAACTTGCTTTGTGACAGTTAATAACACACTGAAAATCAGATAACACAGCCACAAAACTGAAAACTCCACAGTCCAGAATTCATGGGTCCCACCAATTTGGTTTAAGCTTTCAGAAAAAGGGGAAACCAAAGCAAACTGAAGTACATAATTTTGCTCCTAACACTTCATTGTGTTCTTTGATAATAGGCATTTCAAGGTGTCACCAATGGCAGTGATGCTCCCCGTGCTGATAAACATGAGATCAGCTTCTTTCTGTGCCTAGGCAGAAATGCACATTCACCGTTAAAAATGAGCAGCGATGGCTGTCATGGACATAAGAGGGTGTTCTTTATTTGTGCTGTGGGAAGCAATAATGGAGATTTACAGTTCTCCAATATAGCATAGGATTTCCCAGAATGCTGACTAACGGAAGCATTCGAGGCTTATTGATGTAGCAGTGCATTGAAATCACAGGTTTATTAATAAATAGCTTCATGAAAGATGAGGAAAAAGGAGTCACTGACTGACATGAGGGCACCCAAAACAGGAAGACCATGCAAACAAAGCACGTGACTCAAGAAATGTGACCAGAGCATTGACCAGGGGAAACAACTAAAAAAATTAAGCATTCACGAAAAACATCCAAGTAGAGTCTGTGCTAACAGAAGCTTTTTATGTCTATTTGCTGATTTTAAAAGCCACAAATATCTCTCGGCATTTCCCTCCCTAAGGAAGACAATATCAGAATATTTGCACAAGTTTCTTAAAATTATACTAACAGAAGATAAACAAAGCTCAAGATATAGAAATATATTTTATACCAAAAGAAAAAAAGAGAGAAAGAAAGAAAGAAAAACACACTGAAACCAAATCCTCATATTTCTTGGCTCACAGTAGCAAGCTGACTAGTTACCCAAAATGAGCTTCCTGCAAAATCACTCTGTTCTCACCACAGGCGCCATTTACCAACTGGGTGCCGCAGACACCAGGCTGGCTCCTGAACTTCTCTCCTTCAATTAAGCTGCGCAACCTGTTACCATTTTGCCAATGGACTCTATTTACTTAGGTTCTGCATAACTTGCCAAGTGCTCACTCCGTGGAATTCCCAGCAAAGAGAAAGAAACAATTGGGGGAAATTTTCGTTAACATCCTTTCTTTTAACTTTCCACAGCAGAGGGGAATGCATCAACGTGGAGCAGATGCGCTGAGACCAACTGCTCTCTTCCTCATGATTACAGTGGGTTATACCTGTGGATAGGCAAGCTAATTCTCCTGCAAATGTGCAAGAGAGGGTAGTACTGACGTACAATGTGTAGTCCTGGAGGCTTTGTTCTCACATAATAGGGTGCTTCATTTCACAAGACCTGGCACGTAGAGAACACTGAAGCAAACAGCCCCCATGAAGTTGGAATCCTGATCTGTGTCTGTATGGCTTGCAGAATGCCCTGGTTCTCAGCAATGTTGACATAAATATTGTGGAATTTCTTATTTGGAGTTGGAAAGTAATGATTCTTTCCACTTAATGTGCTCAGTGACTCTGCACCCTATTGTTTTCTGCCATTTGAAAATGCCCGGGGATGTCATTATAACTACATGTATCAATATTAAACCTTTACAAACAGTTGACTAAATGAGCTGTTATTATCTTTGTTTCTGAAAATAGTGTACCTTTTTACTTCATTTATCAGTAACTAGGTATAGTCGATTGTGCTCTGGTATTGATTCCAATATCTATACCCATCACAGACTACCTTTCTTCAAGGTCACTGTGAGGTCAGGTTATGATCAATATGAATTGACTGTCTGAAAATAAATTTATATAGCTGACATAATTGCAAGTAATACCCTTTTCAAATTAAGGTGGACCATTTATGAAGCATATGTGTTTGAAACATTAGCGGTAACATTATCCAACTCTGCATAATGAACCAATCTTGCTAGAATTTACAAGTCCTTTTTGTATTACTGAAAGCTGTGTAAACTCCATGATAACCATTTCTAAATCACACCTGCAGAGCTTCAAGCTTTGGGTTTAGTGTAGATGCTAATTATGTTTTCCAAGCAATGATATTTTCCTACGTAGTCTCTGTGCATTTTTATTTCCAATTTTCAAGTCTCGTTTCTATCAGTGGTATTTAAGGGTTCAGGGTGGAATGTTTAGTCACCCTCATCAGAGGACCACGTTTGGTAAAACCAACTGTCTTGAGTAGAAATAGCATCATCAAAGGCAGAGCTTATTCCAGTGCCATTCTGTACCATGGGCCAGTCGCACTTTCCGGAGACGCACTTGTGATCAGCCTGCTAGCCACTGGATGTCACTGACGCTTACATAAATGGAGCTTAAGGGGCATTTATCTGACTGTAAAAATCATGACTTCAGTAGAAAGCAGTTTAGCTAGAAACATTTCACTCAGGCAATTTCTAATTTCAGAAAAATAGGCTCATAAAGCTCACAAAGGCGATACCCAACTTCAAGCGTGATTAGTTTCAGTTGTTTGTTTCAGCTTTAACTGGGATATGAATAAACAGCAAGTTTTGGGGGTGCATTTCATTTGACAGCAGCTGACATTCTGCTTTTAAAGGAACACTGCCCAACCAGGTTTGTGATGTCCTAAAATCTGGTCAGAAAGTTCAAATCATAAAACAATAACTTAAGGTATTTTTTAGATATATAATTATCATTTTTAACACAGTGTTCTGCATCTTACTGTTTTATGAAACATATGTTTACCAAAAAATAAAGGTTATCTGAGGCACACAAAATATTCTTTCAATACAAATCATTTGGGTTCAAATTTTAAATAAGAAGTTAGAGTTTGTAAAGCATAATTAATGGTGACAACTGTCAGAAATACACCAGAGTATATTGTAAAATGCCTTCCACCATAAAAATTCATTCTCGAATCAGATTATGGCAGGGAAATATAATTTTCCTTGACAATTTCATGAATCCTCTTTCTAGGGCTTATCAGGGAAACCAATCAGACCTATCAGTAGATGGTCTACAGAGTAAATATGAAAAGATGCAATAGATTGGAAAGTTCTAACAAAATGAGGATTTATCATTTGTCCTGAATATAGACACAAAGCAAATGTAGTATGTGAGTGGCCTGGAGAAGAGACACTATATAAGAGCAAAGAATTATGACAAATAACATCACAACAGATATGCTGCCATCCCGGAGCTGGAGCCATCTGAGAAGCTATTTTGAATTAATAACGCATGCCATCATGATTACATGTGCTTAGCAGAAACATTTTAAGAAATACCAGCTTCCTAAAGGAAACTGGAACAATAGCTCTCTACCCTTACAAAACATACAATCGCCACTTTTCTTTGGAGAAAAAAGGTTCAAAACCCACAGTAACTAAAGCCCATGTTCTTGTTTTTAAGTTATAAGCTATATTAACATATGATATATACTGAAATCAAATTAATATTCCTCAACAAATAAAGTGTTACCTTACTGACATTATATATTCATGGGGAATAGAGTAGTTTGCCCTAGTACCATCCTTTAATAACCGAAGTGCTGAATTACAGAGAGAGAACTCAATCAAAATCCAGTCAACTATTTTGCAAGTAAGCCATAGATGGTCAACGAGGCAATCTCAACCCATCTACCTCCTCGAAAAACAGCCAGGATCATAAAAATGCATTATGTGCACTTGGGCAATGTTATCTGTTGTGAAACTGATTAATACACAAAATTCTCTCCCCAAATGGTGAATGCCGAGCAAATATGTCACAAATTTCTCATAATTCAAGTAGTCAGAAACACCTGGAATCCCAGGTGTTTGGGGCAACTTGGTGCTAGGGAACAAGCAGAAAGAAAATACTATTCTTAAGCTATATTTCCACCTTAAATAAATTAAAGGACACAGCAGCAGTAGGTAAGGTGGTCAATGCAATTAAATTCAAAACCTGAATGTATTGAACTTTCTGCAATTATACATGGGTCATCTCTGGACAATATGTTGGCCATCTGGTAGCATCTGTGCTGTTCCCTCTAATAGAGTTCCTGCTGTGGCTCGAGGCCATGGAAGGCAGCGCTAAGCAGGTCACATGTTGTGTCTTTCAGCCATATTTAGGTCACAATTTGGGATGGGAGGAGACAGGAATTATCTTTTTATATAAAAGCAATAAAAGTGGATAATCCTTGTAGGTATCTTGTGCTTTGTCACATAGAGGAGAGTAGATTTTACAATTCTGTTCCATGCTTCATCCCAAGTTATACAAAATATAAAACAAAGTACCCTATGCCAAATGCTAAAATTTAGCTGTAAATTGCCTTTTCCTTTTTAAAAAATGAGTCTTTTAAAATGATAATCTTTTTTAATGAAATATGGGGAGAGGAAAGAAGAATTAAATTTCTGTTAATTAGTCTTTATGAATAAAATGCAGCAGAGCTTAGAAAGCTAAGTATATTTTAGAAAAGATTTTTTTTGTGCAAGTGGAGATGAGTAAAATGCCTGTCTATCCAATAGGAATAATTGTAAATTGTAAGCCCACATTTTGCCTTCCTCCTGATACTTATTAAAAGCTTACGTGCTCATATTAGTTGACTCAAAAAGTGTTAAACTGATACAGTCATGATTTAAATATGTACAGAAACAACCCTAAGAAGCAATGCTTTCATTTCAAAGTAAAATCATTGTAGACATGTAAACATAAGATAACAAGTTTTATTAAATATCACTTCTGGCATCAGTATAAAGCTCTGACCTGACATATTTAATTATTACCTCCCCAAAACAAACTCCAAAATGCACATTTTTAAAGTATAAACCTTACATGTATTATCCAAGTTCATTTGATATAGATTTTAAAAATGCAATATGGACAAGACTCAAATCCGACATAAGTAATTCCAGTTTGACATCAATTAGTGAGCAGCTTTTACTCTTATAGACATATTTATAATGGAAAGGAGTGCATTTAGACTTTAAGGTCCTGCCAACTAATCAATTTGATGAACTAATTGATAATAAATGTTAATTGACAACTAACAGCAGTCAATTAATTGCATTTCAAATGCAGCTCCAGGAAGCTGAGTTGAACATTATTCTACCTCAAGCTACTCAAATAATAGCTCAGCAATGACTTTGCAACAGTCTATAAAGGTCAAAGTGGGCTAGCCTTTTCCTTATTAGGCGATCAGGGATCCCAGGGCATAGGTTTACAAAAATAGCAAGCACTCATGCCCAAAAGTCCCCTCTTTGCCTCAGTGCTGAGTCTATTTCTCTGAGACAGTTTCTGAAAGTCCCCTGTGGCATCCCTTTGGGTAGAAATGTAGAAAGTACTGACTCCAAAGAAACAGTTGGTGCTGCCAATTGCAAAATCTTTGTCTTTGACAGAAGCACTATTGCTAACACTAGATTTTTAGGATGATTCTGTTTAGTTATGAATTGTTCACATTCAAAAAAATATTTCCTCCTAAGTGTGTCTTGTGGCAAGAACAATATGCCCCATTTTGCAAGTTCTTAAGGATAGTCAAAGAACAAGCAAAATGTACAATTAGTGCATCTGATAAAATTCAGTCCTCAAAGTGTTGGCTGGTAGGACTCAAAGGTTCTTGGTTTTAGTCACATGATACACACTAAACACCATACAGCTTATTTCAAAAGTTATGGCTACAGATTCCAACTGAAATTTCTTCATATTCTTGTCCACTGGAGGCCTTACACCCTTTCTGTTCACATTGCCTGGAAGGTTCTTTCCCTAGAGATCTCATGAATCATTTCTTTACTTTGTTCAGATCTTTTCTTAAATTTTACTTCCTCAGAGAAGGCCACCTGGTCATTCTAACTCAAGCCCGCTCCACATCCATTATCCACTGTCCTTTGTACTTAATTTTTACTCATGGCTTGCATCACTCCTCTCATGTAGTCCCTTGTTTCTGTATTACTGCCCTCCTTCACTTCAAGGCAAGCTCTACAAAATGACACTAGAATCTATTCACTATGAACTTGTGCTCAGTTGGATTCTTAGTAATACCCGTTGAGTGAAATAAATATTCTGAAAATCTTTCATCCACATGAACTTCTATGATCTAATCATTCCTGGCTCAAAGCAAATGCAGTGAGCTCTTTACGTCAATGAATACCACATCCTAAAGAACAACCAGGAGATTCTAGTATGGTGGCTCAGGTAGGCTGAGGCAGGAGACTACAAATTTGAGCCTAGCCTAGGCAATGGGCCATTTAGTGAGACCCTATTTCAAAAACTCATACACACACACACACACACACACACACACACACACACACATGCATATATAGGCCCAGTGTGAAGGTCTTTGATTCAATCTCCAGTAATGAAAAAAAATTTTTCAGAAAAATACTTGCAACTATATTGATCATGAATAGAACTTCCTCTTGTCATTATTGTATGAACTCTACGATATAACAACTATGTACACATCATTTTCATTGCAATAGATCTTATGAATAAGCTAGAGATAATTCATATACAGGAGAATGTGTACAGGTTATATGCATATACTACACCACTTTATTTAAGGGGTTTAAGCACATTAGGACTTTGGTATTTGCAAGCTGGGTGTTTGAGCTCATCCTCCCTGGATATGGGTGTCCTGCAAGGGTGGAGAGGTGGAAAGAAACAAAACTGGAACGGGAGTTGGATGACTCAGCTCCAGCCACGGTGATGTGACATGTCACTTTGCAAAAATAAGGTCAGCAGTCTGGGATTCCATTTTCTCATAACAAAATGAAGATCTTTGACAAGATGATTTTTAAAAATTCCTTCATACTCTAAGGTTTCCATGATTTTGTTATTAGTTTGTGCTGTTTGGAAGAAAACAATTCTCTATTGTTCTTTTCTGGCCATGTTCTCCTCTGGAAAAAAAAAGTAATAGTACAATACAATCATGTGTGTTTCATAAAGATTGTTACCTCAGAAGGCTTTGTGGAGTTAGGAAATGTCACTATAAAGTTAAATAAATGGCAGCTGAGGGAGGCGAGAGTGAGGAACACAGGGAGGGGCTAGGGATTTTAAATGAAATTTCAAGTGAGAAGTGAGATTTGAAGAGACAGCTGGAGCAAACAAGGCCCTGACAGGGATGAGGGGAATTTGGGGTCAAAGCATTTATGGGAGACAATATAAAGGTAAAATGGGGAAAAAAATTTAGGAACTTTGTAAGATTTTGAGTTTCACACAGTACAATGTAATGTAGTGGTTTAATTTTAAGGGAAGGAAAACAAACATAATTCTAAAAAGATGGCGAAATGCTCGCCTGTGGGAATGAGGGTGTGAACGAGGGAGGCGATGTGAGT